GGAACCCAAAGCTGAGGGTGCAGCGCTGAGCCGCCCTCTGGCCGCCGAACAGTTTGACCTCGGGTAGGACCCCGTATGGGGGAGGGGGTTGCTCTGCCCACTGCACAGGAGGTTGTTGATGGTGACAGGCTCAAACAAGCACTTAATCGTTCCGTCTTAACGTCTTTGTGCAGCGGGGCTCGGCGGGACTGGGGGACGTGCGGAGATGTCGACCCCCCCCCTGGCCGGGGCAGGCATTCCGCCCGGCGCTTTCTCCGGGACACAGGCTCAAGCAGCGAGGGAGGTAAATACAGCTTCTCTCTGCCGCATCGGCCAGGAGACTGTGCAGGACATCGTGTTTCGAACCATGGAAATCTTCCAGTTACTGCGGAACATGCAGGTGAGAAACAAACTCTTCTTTTTATGGTCCTCAACTTCCCATGCTTTTACCACCAGCTGCCAGTATATATGGGCACAGGAGATGGCTTAGGACATTTAAATATCTAACTTGACCAAACTGCTTTGAAAAGGGAGATTGATTGGAGAAGTAAATACTATTTTTAATATATTTACTTACTTTTGTGCATTAAATGATGGAGAAAATTCAGAAATGCTTAATTGTTATTGCCCTCATGATAAATATACTCTAAATACACTTAATATCTCTGGTTTTGTTCAGGAATAGTGAAGTCTGTTTATATGCTGGTTATGTTTCTCTGGTTTTGTTAACATCTGGGGAGTAATTCTAGAGGAATTTTCATTGATCTTTTTCTGTAATATTTTGCACCTAGAACTTTTTGACATTTCTTTTTGTTATTAAAGTGAATGTGATCCTTATTTGTGTCTGCTTACTGAGAAAACATACAAACATTGGTTGTGTTTCTCTGTTGAGAGCAGAAGATTATAAATAATCACTCCCATTCTCTCTGTATTTTCATGACTCTGGCAGTTTCCTTTTGTAATTATCTTAGGTGTAGGTGTATGTACTTAGAGTTTGCAAACTTTGAATTCACTTTAATTGTGCATCTGAATTCTGATCTGGGGTTGAGACACAAGTTCTCTAAGTGTAATACCCGTATACCCACTGACAGCAGTGTCATGCTTAAGCATTTTGAAGACATTTACTGTAAAGAGTTACAGAGGGATTGACAATGACCAAAGTGTAGAATACACGAAGCTGTTTGACAGCAGTGATTTTGCACACCAGATGAGCAGATAAAATACAGAATTTTGCTGATAAAGCAAATAGAAATTTCAGTAATTTCTGTGGGGATAGTGTGATTGTCTTATTTTAAAATGTACAAAACCCCCTCTGATTTAGTTTAGTTTATGTATTTCATATGACAGAAACTTTAACATAGTATTTCTAACATCTTGGGGTTTTGCTTCTCTTAAGTTACCAAATGGTGTTACTTACCATACTGGAACGTATCAAGACAGACTGGGAAAGCTGCAGGAACATCTCCGCCAGCTATCAATACTCTTCAGAAAACTGAGACTAGTCTATGACAAATGCAATGAAAACTGTGCTGGGCTTGATCCTGTTCCCATAGAAGTAAGTATGTTTATAGATATGTAAATTACAATTCAGAATAACCACTGTCTGCTTAGTGTATCATCCGTTCTCCTGAGTTGCAGGAGACTCATAACAAGTTTTAAATTAGACTGGGATTCTTCAGTGGACTGAATTCTGTTCATTATTTGGAGCTTGTTGAAAGATTGTGAAACTTTCACATTAACATCAACAATTCTTACCAACTGGGAGGGATCCAATTTTGAAATCAAACTTCATTTAAAATGTTATCCTTTTTCCTCAGGCTTCTCGGTACATTCACCAGTTTGTTTCCACTAGGAGAAAAAGAGTTAAAAGAGTTAGGGGAAGTTTTTTTAAAGAGGTGGTTATAGTAGGGAAAAGTCTGCTTTAGGCTCTCAGCTGCCAGCCTAGCTCCCTGAGTAATATGCAACTCTGGCCATCAGTCTGTGGCTCCATAGTTCCCTCACTCAGCTGCTCTCAACCTGCTGAGCCAATATGAGCCAAATCTGATGTGCACTGGTGATGGAAAAGTGAACAGCATAAGACTTCCAGGAAGTAGGATTGACCAAAGTTTTTCCTAATAAAAATGCTATTCCTAAGAAAATAAAAACTTAATTTTTCCCCCTAAGTTGTTTCTAATTCCTAGTAATGCACTTAAAGCATGTTTTGTGATAATATTTTACTACAGCTCTATATTAACCAGAACTGTGAAGTTCTTTAATTACTGACCTCTGGATTCCAAGGCAACTCTGTTAACGGACTTCTGATTGTCTTATATTTGAATCTCTTCACTGAATAGGAATAAAGAAATGAAAGAGTCCATTTTGTATAGTCCATTCTAGACTGCTGATCTGCTTCTGTCAGCAGTCACTGTCGTGTTTCAGAGAAAGGTATTCAGAAAACTTAGAGCAAGCAAGAGAATAAAATAATTTTTGGCTTTGTAGAAGCTTACAAAAAAGAAAGTACACTGTGTGTCTGAGGATATCACAGTGGGAAATTCTTACAGAAAAACTCCTATTAGGTAACTGTGAACCTGGTCTTAAGAATAGCCAAACAGGGGCCCACTTGTATAGGAAATCATAATTAGGGTACTAGCCAAGTAGTTCTGTAAAGCCAGGCATAGTTATGTTTAGTGTATCACTGAAATACTTTATAATAATGATAACTTGATCTGGTATTTCCTAGTGTAGAATAATAAATTCTACAATCTCAATCACAATCTACAGAGTTCAAGAATACAAGGATTACCTGTGATAAACATCCTTAAAATGTAAAGACTGGATTCTACCTGCAGTTGTGAAATTGCTTAGGTCTAGGCATGGTAATATGTAGGATTGTCTCTTTTTGAAGCCCATCGTTTTCCTGGAGAACTGACTGAGGTCATTGCAGGGCCTTTGGGTTTGAGGTGATGAAGTAAGCCTGTCTCCACTTCCTCTTGGGAAGGTTGAACCTTTGGAGAAGAAGTAATACCTTATGTGTCTCCCGTATCTCCTGTTTTCCATTTATTTTCTTTTTTAAATTTTTTTTTTGCTAATGTTTCTTGTCTTCATAGCAACTTATTCCATATGTTGAAGAAGATGGCTCCAAGCATGATGATCGTGGTGCTGCAAGTCAGCTTCGTTTTGCCAGTGAAGAGAGAAGGGAAATCATGGAAGTGAATAAGGTAACAAAGTTGAAATTAATTTGCGTGAGACTGTCGCTCTGTCATTACAGAGATGAAATTTCTAGACTGCTGTAGTAAATGCAGCATGTGTGATGACTACCATCAAACTTGGTAATAAATACTTCTTGCATGTAACTATTTCAGAATTACCTTTTAGTAAGTAATAGGGGTTTTTTAGCTGTACCTCTGGCTGTAGAGTTTAGGTTTCGGTTTCCCAACAATTTTAACTGATATATATATATATTCTTCTGAATATGGTGTATTATGTTTATGCTTAACCCACTAGATATTGGCAGTACAGATTGAGGTAAGGTGCCTGTTGAACTTACTTCTCTTCAAAACTTACCTTAGGCGTAAAAAAAATTGGGTATTGAACATCACAAGTGTAAATATTATCACAGTGATATGAGTTGGTAAAGGATTTTCAGGGCTACTTTCTGTATTTTGACAGTGTGAGGAAGACCATTCTTTTTGTTAAATGTAGCATTTATTGAATCTTGACACTTTCAGAAAAAAATGGACTATATATGATAAAGATGCTGTTAAATTTTCAGCTTGAGTGGCAGTGTGCAGTTGAGTACAATTACTAAAGATTCAAACCTAAGAATAAATATACAGTAGTAAATGCTAATGTCATATTGAGATTAAATACACGTAGGTTCACCAGACCACGATTTTGAACATTTTCTTTGATCTGTAAAGTACAAAGATTGAATTAATTAAATATTTCTGTAGCTGTAATGTCTGTAAATCCTTGGTAAAAAGGCGGCATAATCTACAAAAATAACTGAACAAAGAAAATAAATGAGTAGAATATTTCTTTAGGGAGAGAATAATTAGTGGATTTTCAGCTTTTCAAATATTTCCAATATTTTAATTTGTCTTCAACAATCAGAGATGTACCAAATTTTTCATAACCCATTTATTTAGAAAAATGCATTTGTATTGTACAGGAGAAAATTAGGACTTATGTGAATTTAGACAAAAGCAGTTGTCAGCTTTCCTGTTGTATTCTTTCTGTTCAGTGCTGGTGTAGCAGGGTGGAATATATTATATTGTATGTAATGTTGTACTGTGAATTTATGCACATTTATTTGCAATCTTTAAGTGTTGATAGGCTTAACTGTCCATATTTGCTGTGTTTTTGATCATTCTGTGACATGTTTTTGCCCTTGTTGTTTTACTTGTATGCTAATGTCTTTAAATGTCCTTGGTATGATCTTGTGAAAAGAATTTTATTAGTGTTTATGATGAGTTCTAAACCTTAAAAAGGTTGATGGTGTTACAGGACCATTGGTAGCAAATTGGTAATTAGGAGTGTACGCAGGCATTCAGTTAAATCTGTTCTGAAAACATGTATGTACACTTATGACTTAGTTTCCAGATTTTCCACAGTAAGTCTTCAGAAGATAATTGATCTTTCTCTAATATTTTTGTGGACAGATATTTGCCAACTGCTGCAAAAGAAATTTAAACTTGTTGTTTTGAAAGTGCACTGAATTTTTCTTTGTCTCCCTCCAGCTGTATGAGCACATCCACTACCACTTTCAAAGTTGAAATTTTAATGCATTACAGAATAGGAAATGCTTTGGGGTTTTTATGACTAGAAATAAAGATATTCTTATTTTTGCAAAGAAAAATCACTGAATCAGGTTAATTGGTCTGATTTCTGACGCTGACTGCTGGGCTCAGATAGGCCTCTCTTATTCTTATCTGTCACTCCTGACAGCTTTTCAATCTGCTGTAGTATGTCACATCCACCTCCAGCTCAATTTTGGTTAATTTATTTTAGAAAAATTTTAGTAATACAAAACATTGATGAAAATGCTGCGACAGGGAGACCAACGTGACTGATGAAGAAGCTTTTTGTATTCCTGACCCACTGTCTTTCTTCCCTTCAGCTGGTTGTCCTGCTCTCACCTAGTCCTTTTTGCTGTGGTAGGCAGTATCTTTCAGTCTTGCATGTTACTGGTAACAAAAAAAGCATTATTGCAATAGCCTGATTCTTTGACGCTATTGAGACGTTTGAATTCTTAGACCTTTCGTGGACCTTTTAATTTTGCCCTTCTTGCTGTGTTATCCCAGCCACTCTGATCTCTTCAGTGGCTCTGGGTGCGCGTGAAAGACACTAACTGCCCTGCAGTGCAGAGCACAACCAAAATTAGTAGATCCTACGAACCTTGTGGATCGTATGTCCTCACACAAAAACACCCACTGACTTCAAACAGAACAGCTCTGCTTTGCTACAGCACTTGTCTGGGAAGGGGGGGCATCCTTAGGGAAGGAGGTGGGGAGCATCACGTACTTCCTCTACTCACTCTTGGGGCAGAACCTGTTGATATAGCAGTTCCAAAACACTGTAGTAGCTTTTGAGGTCAGTTTACTGTATAGTGACATCTTTTGGTCTTATCTCTATTTATTCTGCTATATTAGAACTTAACTTTTAGGTCAGAAAGTTTAATGCCCCTACCTTGGCTAAGAAGTACTTGTCCATTAAATTAAAATACAGATCTGTTTACAAGGTAATTATCTTCTGTCCTAGCAATTTAGTAATATTTAGCAACTATAGGTTTAAATAAAACCTATTAGGCTTAAAAACAAAAGGGTTTTTTGCCAGCAGTTACTAAGAAGAGTGCACCATTATTGTAAAAAACAAATAAATAATTTATTGAGTGCTGACTACCTGTACCTTTTCTACTAAACAATTCTCTCCTGTAGTTCCCAAAGATGCTGCTTACTCCTTTTATCTGTATTTGCTTTCTGGGACTGTCAGTTGTTGAGGTGGTTGACTCTTTTCTGGAATAATTAATTTACTGTTCCAGAATCAGTTCAGCATTTGCATTGGTCTATTAATCCAGTTTTCATTGAAGATAATCATTATTTGCAACAATTGGAAGCTGTTACCAAAATTTTCTCACTTGTCTTCATATTTTTTGAGTCTGTGATGTTCTGCCTACAGGTTTCTCACCTTCTAAGTGTAACATCATCTGTAATAGTTTCAAGATGTCAGGCTCACCTTGGGTCCGTGGTCTTGTAGTAGATTTGACAGGCTTACAACAGAAGATTGTAACAGAAGATCAAATCACAGACTGAGAACACTTTAATCTGTGTTGCTGCCTCATCAGCAGTTTTATTTACTGATTGTTTTTAGAAATGGAGCAAATACAGCTTTGGGTTTTTGTATGCTGTATCTCTGGTTTGGGAAAACCATCACATAGTTAGAAGTCTCTATCCATTTGGGTGAAAATTAGATGTTGTGAAATAGCAGTAGGACATTTCAGGTGACACTTTAGAAAATAATCATGTTTGATATTCTTAATTAAGCTTTGCTGATTGTTTAACAGTGACCTTCCTAAGAGAGGAAAAGAAAATCTACATGACAGGTTTTTAAGTTAAGCTATTACAAGGTTGGCTCTGGGCATTTTTGATAACAAAACCATTGTGCACTGCAGCTGATGTTTAGGAAGTAGTCCTTAAAATGACAGCAGTTTGCAATTAGTCTTTTTCTTTGGAGAGCCTTGCCTGAAAACTACTTTTAACCATGCTGGCAACATGCATTACTTTTAAACTATCTTTCAAGCTATTTGCATGTATTTTTAATTTGTTTTGTATTTGTAGAGTCCCTTTTCACCTCGAATATGAATGTGCACCAAGGACCACTTTAACAAGAGAGGAAGGACTGTTTATTTGTACACCTTCTTAGCAGATTAATCTGCATTGGGTGCAGTTCCATCCTGTTTTGGGTACCCAAACTGGCTCTCTGCAATGGTAGAATCACAGGTGATTCTAGGCTCAGTGGGAAGTCTGGCAACTATCTGATTCAACCCTCGGCTCAAAGCAGGGTCAACTATCAAAGTTAGATCCAGTTGCTCAGGTTCATATCCAGTAGCACTTTGAATATCTGTAAGAGTGGAAATTCTACCCTTTCTGGGCCCTTCTTAAGTGTTTGTCAACTTTCACTGTGAAAGTTTTCCTAGTGTTATGTTGCAATTTTCTTTGTTGTAACTCATGTCCACTGCCCATCATCCTTTTGCTGTGTACGTTCAAGAGAGTCCAGCCTTGTTGTTCCTATGATCTTTATTAGGTAGCTGAAGGCAGCATCGTGATCCTGCCTCAGCCTGCTCTGCTTGAGGCTGAATAAATTTAGCTCTAATCATCTTGGTAGCCTTCCACTGGATGCTCTCTAGTATGTTAGTGTTTTGTATTGAGCCCAGAATTGAACAGTCGTTCTCTAGAGCCACACAGAAGAGAATGACACTTTCACTTGACATAATAGGTGCTCTCTTGCCAATATAGCACAGTGTGCAGTTAGTCTGCATTGGTGCAAAAAAGATCCACTCCTGACTCATGTTCAGCTTGTCAGAAAGTTTCAAAAAGGACCTCGGATCCTTTTCTGCAAATCTGTTTTCTATTCAGTCAGTCCTCTGCCTGTGCTGTTGTATGAGCTTATTCTGTGTTCAGATGCAGGATGTTGCTTTAGTTGAAGTTCCTGAGATAGATGTTGGCCTGCCTTCCCAACCTGCTGATGTCCCGCTGAATTGGACATCCTACCACTGAGTATATTGACCACTTCCCCCAGTTTGATATTGTCCACAAGTCTGATGCTTTGGTATGGTGATTAGGTCATTATGTGTGGATAAGTCATTACTGAGGATATTAAGAATATTGACCTTAGTATTAATCCTGAGAAACACCAAGACAGACCAGCTGCAACCGGTTGCTGATCACAACATTTAGAATCCAATAATCTAGCCAGTTTTCCGTCAACCCTATAATCCACCCGTCCAAACCACACCTCTCCAGTTTGGTTACAAGGAGAGACTGTGTCAGGAGCCTGACTAATAGGAAAGTAAAGGAAGTCCCCTGCTCTCAGATTTGTCCACACAGCCAGTCATTTCTGAATAGAAGGCTATCATGCTGGTCAAGTACAACACGTCTTTGGTAAATCCAGAATGACAGTTCCCAGTCCTCTTATTATTCATGTGTCTGTCTGGACACAG